ACTGCCCCTTGCCATGTGGGGGGCTCTGCCATGAACCTCTCAACCCCCACCCACTCTCCCAGCCCCCTCCATGGCTGCCCTGCCTGCCCTAGCTCCTGGCCCTTCATCGGTGATTTGGAGGAGGGGGTGAAGCGTTTGCTGGCCAAATTTGCAGATGACACCAAGTTATGGGGAAGCGTGGTCATGCTTGAAGATTGGATACAGATACAGGCAGATCTAGACAGGCTGGCAAGTTGGGTGAGTCAGAACCAGATGAAGTTCAGCGTCAAGAAATTTAAAGTGCTACATCTGGGGATGAACAATCCCCTACACACCTACAGGCTTGGCAACACCAACCTGACCAGAACTACGAATGAAAGAGACCGGGGGGTAATAATAGACCACAGCATGAATATGAACTGGTAATGCCAGCAGGGCAGATAATACTCTGGTATGCATCAATCGATGCATCTCCAACAAGATCAAGAAGGTGATTCTTCTGTTATACTTGGCACTGATGAGACCCCAACGGGACTACTGCGTCCAGTTCTGGGTGCTGCATTTTAATATGGTACAACTTGAGAGAGTCCAGAGAAAGGCCACCCATATGATTACAGCCTTGTACAGCAAGCCATACAGAGAAAGGCTGACGGACCTGGGACTCTTCAGCCTGAAAAAGAGGAGGCTGAGAGGGGACTTGGTAGCAATTTACTGCTACATCAGGGGAGTACATCAGGGTTCAGTGAACAACTGTTCACCAGGATGCCCCTGGGGAGAACCAGGAGTAATGACCATAAACTCCTGGAAGACTGTTTCAGACTCAACATTAGGAAAAACTTCTTCACAGTTAGAGTATCTAGACTGGAGTAAGCTCCCTCCAGAGATGGTGCAATTGTCTTCAAGAGGAGACTGGACAGTCATCTTACCGGGGTCATCTGACCCCACCTGTCTTTCCTGTCTGGTACAGGGGGCTGGACCCAATGACCTTCCAAGGTCCCTTCCAGCTTTACAATCTATGAAAGCGTGCGCTAGCATGCTGAACCAGGCTGGCTCCATGCCATCACATGCAGCCCCTAGGATTTGGCCAGAGTTGCATGCTTCTGGGGGCTCTGCCTGCTGCAGCTGAATGCCCCAAGGGCCCGCCGCCTGCTGCTGGTGAGCCACTGGTGGCAGGGGCTATGCACCATGGGAGAGGGATGATGTGGTGGGGGGCCCACACCCATCCACAAACCCCACGCACTCCCCCTACAAACACCACAAAACCCATATACTCCCATACCCACACTGCTCACAAACCCCACACCTCCCATACCCACCCCCAGCCATACGAAGTATATGCATATATTTCTGAAGAAAGTTCGAATAGTGTTATACTTAGTTTAATTTAAAAAAAATAAAGGTAATTTAATTTAGGATATTTTTAAAATTTTTCTGTACATAATTTTGATTTTTTTTTCTGAGCATATTTCCCTTGGGTGTTCTTTGTGGATTTTGGCTAAGCATCCCATCAGTCCAGACTGGTAGATAAATACATACTATGTATATGTAGCTTGAAAATAACTTAAAAAGCATTTTGTCCTATGCTTAAAATCAGTACCAAGTAGACAGAAACTTTTCAACATTGTAATTGGTGTAATGTAATGGGTGAGCAAATACATTTTATTTCTTCACCATAATTTGACTTTAAGCAGGTAAGAAGATAGCGAAAACTGCCAATAAGTTTGAATTCGTGCATTCCTAAGTTCCTTTAGGAAAGAGACTGCTTTTTAAAGTGTTAATAGTGTTACTTGAAACCATTTATATACAGTCACGTTACATTTTGAAATGGTTAAAAAATACCATAATGTTTTAAAGAAAAGTCAGTTACATGAAAGGTCAGACCACATACTCATTGATTCAAAAGGCCAGAATCATGATAAATGTCAACAAATATTTCCAGTCAACTCCATTATTACGGAGGATTGCCAGCTCTGTGATAATAAGGTTATGGTTTCATTTTAGAGTCCACATTGCCCTTTTTATGTAACACAATTTGAATGAGATTGAAGTATTTTGTTAATCTTAATGGTGTTTATAACTATTTTGCTAGTGAGAAATACAGAATTCTGAACTTTGGTGGACTGGAAAACTATGTCTGTCCTATTTTACTGCTCAAGGACACTTTTACTTTAAAGTGATGTACTCTGTGTTTAATAGTACCTCCTTAAGCTAAGTAGGCACTCTAACTGTTGATTTTTCACATACTTCAGCCTCAGACCTTAATACATGTAAAAACAGGGCATACTCTTACTGTCAGCACTCTTCCTTACCCTACAATTACAGTCTTGTTGGTGTACAAATTACAACACAATTGTGCTCCAGCCTTTCAGTAGCATAATTTGGCTGTGTCTGTGTCAACAGGACTGGAATACGTTAGAATTACATTAAAGAAACTATTCTGTATGGTTATGATAAAGCTTGGTCCCATTCAAGCAGGCCAACGTTGCAGCATGGTTCTTTTGTAACTTAAGGGCACCACCCACACAATACTTTCACTATAGAATAAATTTGTGGGGCAGGTATACATCACACAGCCTTGCTCCAGTGTATGCTGTTGGGGTAAAGCTACCCCTTAAAATGTGAGGAGGAACTATCTAATATTCTTAAGTTACACCAGTGAAACAGTCATATGTTCCTTCCTTTGACCATTTTCATCTTTTGCTCAATGTAGTCTGGCTCTCCCACTACCTAGTGGCCAGTCGCTAACACCTGTCATGGCAAGATCTCCCATGACATGGTTCTTGACAACTTTTCCTATGCTCCTACCAGACATACAGGTAAAGGCAGGATGGGATCTGATGCATGACCCACACAATCTTGCTTCCTGCCATGCCAGGTGTGCATGAGTAGCACAGCCACTCAGCACAACTCACAAAGACGCTGTTATGGAGCCAGAGGGACAGCCTTCCATCTTCAGCTCCCTCTGTGCAAAAATGAAGTTTATTTCCTATCTATGGGGAGTTTTTACCATCTTGTACCATCTATACTTTTCCCAGAGCCTGATGAAGGGACGTTGATCCCAAAAGCTTGCAGAAAAGGACCATTTCCTTGCAATTTCCCAGTTGGTCTAATAAAAGGTATCATTTTGGGACCAAGAGTTCTAGTTTTTTTGTATATCTCCTTTTATGTCTGGCTTTCCAGCCCCATCTGCATGCTTATATAGCAACCCGTACATCATCTCACCACTGCATGTGGTGTCGTGGCTGCCAGCACCACCACCATTTCTCTAATGTCAACATTATCAGCAGTGCTGTTTTGGTTATCATAATCATCCAATGCAAGATATGGATGAAGTGGTACCTATTTCTGTGCCTCAGGTTTTGGAGGGGGTGTACTCATTGTACCTGCATTTAATTTCAAAGAAAGAGATTTGGGTTTTTTTTCTATTCAGAAACTTTCTGTGATAGGAAAGTGGGCTTTCTATGCATTGTGGTGGATCTTTTTCAGTTAAGCTAAGGTAATCCTGAGAAGAAGTATTTGGTCAACTGCTGAATGTCCTTTACAACATCGATGTAAAACAGGAATCTGCTACTTCTGATTTATTTACTCTGCCAGTATATATGAAGTGTATTCTGTTACTGTTTGTAAAGCACTTGAAGTTCTATGAGTAGAAGGTATTGTTAGAATATAAAGTGTTTTTATTGTTCATACTGCAGTGTTTCTTTTTAAAGTAATTCTAAAATAATGTATTAGCATTGGATCTTTTCTCAGAGCTATCTTTCTCCTGATCTTCATGTTGTAAATTAACTTAAATTTTCTGCAGTTCCTACCAGAGCAGAAATTGTACTCTGATATTAGTTGGAGACCCATGTATTCTTACTCTAAAGATATGCTGGAAGGAAATATTTGCCCATGGTCTCTTATATTGCTAATACATTCGCTTTATATGCATTTACTTTCCCTATGAAATACTAAAGAAACTATTCTAGGCTATAGTTCTTGTAGCCATGAAACTTTTTTTTGACCTTTTTTGCTCTTCTTTTTATAGGTTCTTGCATCATGCCGGGCCTTTCTTCTAACATCCCGCATTCCCACCAAGGTAAGATTATTTTATTTCAGTACCCAATTTGTATTCATGTATGAACTTCAGTGGTATAAACTTACTATCAATATTACCGGTACTTTTGTCCCAGGGGAAAAAAAAGGAGGATTGGAGTTATACATTGGAGGAAAGTTGTTTTAATGCTATTTCCAGTAATGGTTTTCTTAACCATTTCTGGTTAATTTCTTCAGCACATAGGTGAACCATTCCAAAAATACCTAGACATCTAAAAATGGTGTGAAGAATTGCATTAGAAATAATCACCCGTGGAGCTAGAGCATACAGATAATAAGTCTCATAATAGGATCTAGACTAATTTTTGCCCAAACAAATTGATGTTATTGCTTTGTTTTAGTATCTCTAGTCTCAAAAAGGATTATGTTCCAGATTCCTAAAACAGGAATTTTACAGAGTTTATTAAATCTCACTGCTTCTGGTGGAATAACATCTGCTGTTTTCCATGGTGACCATAGTTTGTTGTAAGAAGCATCTTGCCAACCTGTCTCTCAAATGCTGTGGAATACTTAGTTTATTCCCATGACAGTCTGGGATGATTGTCATGGCAAAGGGTGATTTTGAATCTGGAAATAATCTCTCATCCCATGTGGAGTCAGCTAACATGATCTTGGCAGATGTCCAGGTTATGTCCATGTTCTGCTTTGTTGCACAAATATATGTGGGAAGATTCTCAAATCAGAATAACTGATGCTTGTAAATGTTCCTTTTTGTCATGTGTGAATTGAAGACCCTTACTGATGGGTGAAACTCTCCTTTTGATTTTCTCAGTACTGTAAATGAAATTTGCAGAAAAAAATATTAATTGACCTACCCATGGTATTAAGTTAACACTACAAACTTTTCTAAAAAGTGGCTTCTTAATGGTTTTATTTCATGGCACTTCGTGAGATAAACCAGCCAAGCATCTGTCCGGCCAGCCTTTAAAAATTTCCAAAGAAGGAGATTCCACAGTTTCAAAAGAAACTTCCTATATAAAAGTTTCTTTCAAAAGTAGGATATTTTTTATTTGAATAATCAGTGGGTTTGTCAAAAACACTTTTTCTTACCAGCAGAAATGTGAAACCTGAAACCATTTCATGAAACCTGAAGTGTTTTAAAAACTGTTCAAGATCTTGCCACTTATGATGAGCTATATATCTTCCACTAATGTCTTTTAGCAGTAGAAACTTACAAACATACAATGAAGCTAGGCTGTTTCCTTGGGATCTTATTAGACATTGTAATTAATGTGCAAATGACAGAGGTGCATACATGTTGCTGTTATATAAAATAAAACAAACTGTGGAGTAGAGGTTGAGGTCGTTGATTTCTATTTTCATTTTTATTAAAAAGTGTGTTGCCACACTCGTACATGCAGCTGACTGTATTTTTCCCTTTGAAAGTGTTGCAATGAACTTTATTTTTATTTACTATTTGAAGAAGTCTCTCCCTTATACCTTCTGTAAGAGGAGTTTAGAGGTTATTTATGCTTCTTGGTTTCTTCAGAAAACTTCTGTGGAATATATGTCCAGAAATATTTTACAGTTTTGAAATTACAGTATTACTTTCACCTGCAAATTGCAGGCATTAACATCTCTTAAACAATTCACAAGTTTGCCTTTAAAACTTATGCCACAAACTAAAATTGTCATAAAAAGGAGTTAAGGTAGGTAGTGTGCAATACTCATCTAACATAAATCCTTAAAATTCAGAAATGTCAGATTAATACATGCCTCGTAACAGTACACTAAATTCCATTGGGCACATTTCTACCAACAATTACACTTTTAACCTTCACCAAATCTCTTCTCCATCTAATAGACAATAAAACAATACATACAACCCATTGGTCCCTGTTGCAGTTTCAGACAAAATCTCATTTACAAATTCACTGTTAATAAATATGAGGTGTTGACATACATGCACAGGTTTAAGTGTATGGTATATGGCACATCTGTGGGAATGCAGCACGAGTTTTTGAACGTGTATTTTCTACTGTTTTCAGTAAGTGGTACCTATGTGGGAATTTTGAACAGTAATAAACCCATTAAATGTTATCTGCATGCCTTAGAGGTAATATTAAAAACATGAGAACATTTTGAAATTTCTTAAAGGACCATTTAAAAATTAATTTTAACTTAATTAACTAGCATTAATTTTCTTAAGCCATAAGAAAATTCAGTTCGCAGATTGTCCTTCCATAGTGTCTGATAAAGTAAGTTGTTGCTTTTAAAGGTATGCATCTCTGAATTGGTTATTCTCGTTCTGTCGTCTGCCTGACTTCAGACTAACATGGCTAACTTCCTGTCTCAGACTGTGCTGTAGATGTGGAAAAGATGTCTATTCTCCATATAAAACAAAAGCCCAAAGTCCCTTCTTTAAGTGAAGAAATTAACTTAACCTTAATTATAGAAGAACACGTGAACTTCTGTTGCATGTTGACAATCATAAAGGGTTCCTGCGGGATTAATTCTTGAGTTTATGTGTTCATAGCTCTTTCTTTGGAATAGGTGTTTGAAGTTTAGTATGAATATACCGTTTATATGTGGGACCCTGAAAAAGTGTAAACTAGGGAAGATTTAGATCATGGAAGGTAACTCCTACATATTTATCATGATCTTTTAGTCAATTGGGGTTCAGATGTGCTCATCGTTATGTAGGGCCTGGATAACTCAGGGTAGCAGCTTAGGAAAGGGACATGGAGTCTCTCACTTCTGAACATACAGTTTGAATTAACCTTAGGTCACTAGTGATCAAAAGCTGCCATCTGATGGCTGGCTGATTTAAATGCGGTGTAGAGGACAAATTTGAAGGTTGATGTCTGCTGCACAAAAACTGGCATTAATTGACAAACTCAGTTGAGATGCCAGTATTTGAAAAGGCATGAATTATTTTCTCATGAGATGGTCTCATCATGCAAAAAGAAAGTACACTGGTGTTGGCAACAGGAGGCAGCCTCCACTGCTTCTGTCTGTTTTATATCCAGTGCATGGCTTAACAAGTCCTTGATTTCTGTCAGTTATTGTTGGGCTTCTTTCATAGTCAGTAAATTAACTTCATTAGGAAAAAAGGCAGTTTCTGTATATCCCCAGCCATAAATATTTTAATTGTTATTTCCCAGGCTGCTTCATTCTAAGATGCTGTTGTGCATAAAGTTTCCAAGGATGAATCATATTCATTTGTCTTCTCTACATCTAAATTATTAAAAAGAAATTGCATCCCTTCAGGAAAAAGAAAATGTATAATCATCACTAAACTAGTTTAAAAACATTTCCTTGTTATTCATTTGTTGATAAGGACAGAAATGGTGGGTTTAGTGAGAAACTGGATATGAACCCTGAACTGCTAAGTGACTTTTAATAACAGAATGGCTTTAGAATTATATTCCTCTAACTCTCAAACAAAAAGACTAATGTGATATTCTCTAAGAAGAGTCCAGCTACAGAGCAGGTGTCTGAAACTATACTGTAATCCGACTCTAGCTGATATTTGCTTTGAATAAATGGTCACATTTATGAAGAGTATATTTATGGTATATACACTTTAATGCTTTATCAATAATGTTTTAATAAATGGTTAATTAATTATAGAGTACAGCATGTCAATAGGTAACTTATAAACATCTATAGCACTTTCTACTAAAATGCTTATAAACACCAATAAAACATATTAATCAGTCATGTAAAATGTTTAAAGCCTCTATTCATAGATTCTAACTCACAATATAAAGTGCAACCAAATATTCTAAATATTTACTAGGAGACAGGTATTACAGGTGGAGAACAAAAAACTTCTAACCTCATTTAAGTAATTAAGATTCATTTCTGTTGTTTACCTTGGGATATGGTATTTTCACATATTTCAGTAATGCTTAAAAGTAAGGTATTTATACTAATTCTGCTTCCTTTTTGTGTTACAGCTAGAACTAACTTTCAGCTATTTAGAAATCCAAGGAATAACTTCCAGTAAGCCAGGGCAGGTGAGTGCTTTCAATTCAAAAGCATTTTCTGTTTTAAGAACATAGTTTTAACCTCCATTCTAATCAAACAGATAATCTAGTAAATCGAAGCTCTTATCTAGCAAGCAGCGTGCATATTTGAATTTTTATGTTCACAAAGCTTGCAAGCCTAACAATAATAATAATTTAAAAAGTCAAGTTAAGGAATGAAATGTGTGGCTGGGATGAAGAGAAAAAATACAGTCCTTTTTCATAAGTCAGTTGGAACAGAACTAATTGGATGTAAGTTTGCATTTGTAATGTAAATGTGATATTTTCCTCCAAGATAATGAAGAACAATGTTTATTGTCATACAATCCACACCCAGCAAGTTTTATTGCTTTTTTTATGGAGAATACTGGCAAATGCATACAGAATTTGTTTATTTTCAGTTATACTGGTGCAACTGCTTTATGAAAAGTTTAATCTTCTTTTGGATTACAACAAATATATTTGAATATAAGCTATAGTTATATGTGCAAAAAAAGGAGTGACATGCGCACACACAAGTGTGTGTGTGTGTGTGTGTGTGTGTTTGTACACATGTAACAATTTTAAAAAGACAGGTATTTTGTAAGGAGATTTAACCACCCGATTGTATCACTACGTAGAAGTCTCATTAAGATATCTCTGTGTGTTTGGTTTTTGAAGGGATTGTTAGAACTTGGTGCTTTTGACTTATTCCAGCACAATAGAACTTTTTTGTTATATTCAGCAGTTCATGTTTTTAGCCTGATCTTTTAAAATTCCTTTTACAAGCTTTTTCCTTAAATAACTGCAGTTGTTTTTGGGTAGCTTTTAGTAAATGGTGGTTGTTTATATATGTCTTGCTTACTTCCCTTTTTTGGCTCACATGCAATCCCAGTATTCTTGAAAAGTCAGCATTATATTTATAATAGGTAGAGATGATAGGGGGTAGAGGAGGATTTGGCAGACTGTATTCAGGCTACTGGGGGTTCAGCAGTGTTCCAGTGGCAGGGGATTTTGCATGGACCTGCTCTGTGCTGCAACCTGGGGGCGGGGGAGATGTGGAAGTCAGGCCCTAGTACCAGCCTGTCCAGATCTGGGCAATTCCACTCCACTGCTGGAATGACATTTTGCACCTTGGCTTTTATACAACGTGTGCATGTGAAGGGCCCCTCCCTAGTGGCAGAGTGAAGGGACGGAAATTGCCTTTTATCCAAGATATTGTTCTACCTAAAACATTTGATAGGCTTATGCAATTCTTACATATAATTACATTTAAGATATGTAGTTGAAGACTGGCTGGCTCTGTGGCAGTCTCCTGGGGGGCAGGCAGGGGGCGGAAAAAAACAGCTTTGCTTACTATCTCCCTAAACATAGTTTACGTACTGGGAAATAAGTTATTGTTGATATTATTACAATAGTTCCTCTTTTGCTCAGACCTCATTGTGTTATGTTCATTATCAACATCAAACAAAATGCCACAAAAAGCATTTAATATACCTTTAATACAAGAGAGGTGGATAAAAACATAAAGGGAAGCACAAGAAAACAGTGAGAGGTAAAGAATATGGAGAAACATTGTTTTCTCTTGCCACTGAGGAAGAGGACACATAGCAATGGGTTTAAACTGCAGCAAAGCAGATTTGTATCACATCTAATGAAAAACTTCCCCCCTGCTAGAACAGTAGAACAGTTGACCAAGCTGCCTAAGAAAGTTGTGGCATTCCCCACATTGGAGGTTTTCAAGAAGAGAGTGTACTGACTTCTGTCTGGTAGGGTTTAGGAAAAGCAGCACATCTTGCATCTGTGGAGGAGGGCTGGATTAGATGACCCTTGAGGCTCCTCTCAACCCTTTGATTCTGTGAAAATATTGGTCAGCCTGATGACGTTGAATAATTATTCAGCCACAGAGAATGATTGCCTAAAATCCCCAGAAGGAGTTGAAGATTACCAGTAGAAAAAGCGTGTAAAGACCCACAGTGTATGTTAGATCAGGGGTTTTCAACCTTTTTCAGTCAGTATACCCACAGCAGCTGATTGACGGGTGGGGAGGATGGAGGGAGGGGATGGCAGCGAAATCAGAAGTGCCAGTGGTGCACAGCGGCAAAACCGTAAGTGCTGGCAGTGCATGGCACCAGCAAAAACAAAAGCACTGACACAAGCAACGCAAAGTGCTGGCGGCTCCACTTCTCCACGCTGCTGCTGTATACCTCCTGGAGCCTTCCCATGTACCCCCAGAGGTGTGCATACCCCTGGTTGACAGCCCTATGTTAGATTATTATAGCATCTTCTAGGTTTGCTTTGTGTACAAGGAAATATTGGGCATTTTAAATGGCTGGGAAGAGACTGGGAAAGAATTCCTGTGTCAGTACTACAGTCAGTTTATTTAATTCAGAACAATCAAAGTGTAAGACAATATGATAGCAGTACAATCTTTTTGTTGTTAAGTTCCATACACCTCAAACAGCTTTGTAGTTGCTCAGTTAAACAAGTTACTCCATTAATTGAACTGAGAAAATAGTCTATTGTGCCTGCCAAAGAAATTTTCTCACTCTTGGTATACTGTCTTAACATTGCATGCAAGTGTTGCTGATCAGAATACTTGATTGTCTCCAGAGAATCATGATTGTTAATGACTTACCTTTTGTTTATGCTTAAGGAGGTGTGTTCTGCTTATTGAATATTTTTAGTGTTGCTGTGCTTGGCTTGCAGTTATGAAACACGTTTCAAAATCGGAGAAGGCTACTGCTGTGGGTTTTTAGTGTGGGTTCAGAAGTCTCAACTGATTTTAAGTTTGTTTTGAAAACCTCAAGACATTTGGCTTAAAGAAAATGAAAAGAGAAGTTCTGGTAGCCAGAAGTTCTGGTAGCAGACAACAGCTCCTACTGCCAAACCACCAGAGTATATGCATGCCCAGGTGCATATGCTGGCCAGTAGGGGTGTGCAAAACGGGCCGTATTCAATTTGGATTCAGATTCGGCCCAAATTGGGGACAGTGATTCAATTTGTTGATTCGGATCACTGTCCTCGATTCGATTTGGCCAAAACTAATCTGAAGATACAGTGCTGATTCAGCAAATCAGCAATTCAGCCATAGACACAGCTTTAAATGTTTTTTCTACATACCTCAAGGTACCAGGCGTGGACTGCGATGGTGGGGCGAATGGAGTGTTCCACAGGAGCACGGAGGGCCCCCCTCCCCCCGCCCCGTGTGCTTGGTGGCAAACCTGGAAGTGGTCTGGAAGTACTTCCATTCACCTTCTGGGTCCGCCACAGAGCATGCTGCAGGGCCCCCCCCACACTTCCTTGGCTCAGCAATTAGCCATGGGGGGACCCCGGGTGTCCCGCCCAGACCCAGAAGCACGAGTTGCCGAGCTGGGGAGATGCGGGGGGTGGGCCATGCGCACTCCCCAGCGGACCTGGAAGTAGACCAGACATGCTTCTGGTCCACTTCCGGGTCTGCTGCCAAGTGCATTGGGGACCCTCCCCACCCCCCACACACTCCTGTGGGATGCTCCATCCGCCCCAGCATCTTAGCATTCACGAGGTGCCTGGTACCTTGAGGTATGTAGAAAAAAACATTTAAAGCTGTGTCTATATCTGAATTGCCGAATCTTCCCAAATTTCTCTGAGTCTATTCAGAGGGTTCCAATTCGATTCAGAGAGATTAACGGGTCTCCTGATTTGATTCAGCCACTGAATCGGGCCAAATCTCCACCAAATCGAATAAGGAACCGAAGCATCACACACCCCTAATGCCCAGCTCTGTGTGGCTTCTTTCAGTAGCTATGCCAACAGAGCATGAAATGTAGCCTGGGAAGACATCAGCTGCTGAAGGGACTATGGCAGCCAGTAGAAGGCATGATAGTATTTACATGTGCCTTCTGCCAGCTGCTAGGTGGTAGCAGAAGCCTTACTCCACATGGCAGAAGTGGAATAACTCTACTGCAAGAGAGAAGGGTTCTGCCACCTTAGAGAAACTTTGGGTATGACGCCCTCAAAGATTTGCTGAAAAACTGAAGTCAACTAGGCCTAAATTCCTTTGCCATTTTTCCTGGCATTTTGTACTTGGGAACATTTGTCTGATCTCAGTCAGAATTTACATATGTTTATTTATGTATGAACATTAATTATATTGAATCTTCAAATTTTTTTTAATGGAAATGAGTTATATTGTGTGTGTGTGTATGTGTTTTCCTGGCCTGTATTTTATACAGTTAATTGTAGAAATGGAGAAATGCAACATTTCCATGAAGATGGCATCATCAGAAGATGTGAATGAAGTGTTGGCACACATTGGAACATGTCTCAGGAAGATATTCCCTGGTCTGTCACCAGTGTAGGTACTCATGTTTTCGGCACCTGTCATGCATGCAAATTACCAAAATGTGCAGGGATACCAGCCTGGCTACTGTCCCCTCTTCTCCTATTCCCACCTTTCATCAGGAGCGTGTCTTAAGATTTAGGAAGTGTTTTGATCCAGATCCTGACCCTAAATTCTGCGCATTCCTATTAGTATGGGAAGAATCCTTAAGTAATCTGGAGCCTACACAGAAGCAGGCATGGCTGAAGCATATGACACTTTAGAGATTTCCATGGGCTAAAAATTGATCACAAGCCTACAGGTTGTCCTAAATGAAGCTGGGTGCTTGGGAGGGGAGGGGGGGTGGAAGAAGGCTTTACAGGAGTATAACAGCTTATTCTTGCTCTTTTACCTCCAAGAACTGACATACCTAAGTGTAGCCCATTGTTTTCCATTACTTGCTTTCTCTAATGATTGTCCCTGAACAACTGTGATATTGTCTGGTTTCTTCCAGGTCACTATTTATGGGGAGGGTGGGCAGAGTGGCAGTGTCAAGGACCCAAATTGGAGGAACAGGTGTGGAAAACAAGTCTGTGTGTTTCAGACTTCATTGTTTGGAGTCTGAGGCCTGGATCTTTCATCATACACCTTCAGCAAATTGACTGGACAGAAAACTTTCCCTTTTGACCACTTAAATATCCCTTTGTTCTGTTGTCCATCTTTCCTGATTCGCTCTACCTTTTTTCTGTTTCCTTTCTCCTATCTATATCATCTTCTTCCTTTGTATTCGTTGTTTGTTCTTGTTTCCTTTGCTTTATTCTCAGTTTGTTCTTTGTCTTTCTCTGTGCCACATTTTAACTTGCATCCCCTAAATCTCATGGCTCTACCATTCTAGTCTAGTTTTCTGGGGGTCTAAAAATATGAATTAATTAGATAAAATAGAATTTTCTCTTTGACAAATAGACATCTGCAGTAAAAGTTTTAAAACTGACATTGCAGAAAAATGTAGTTGACATGCCTGAAGTCACTTTTTTTTCTCTTGGGTTCACAGCCTTTTATTACTCAACTTTCCTGCAGACTGAGTAGAAAATAAAGTCCATAAACTTGGGGAGAGATAACCTACCAGTTTATCTCTAAGGCATATTTACTGTTTACCCTGACAGAGATGGAAATCTTGCTTCAGGCTCATTTGAAAACAAATGCAGAGGGAATAAAGCATAGTCAAAGAGCCTCAGTGATATTGTGACCAAAAAGAGAAAAGCATGGAAGGAGGGAGGACTGCAGAAGCTTGTGTATATTTAGATCATTGTTTTCTTTGATTTGTTCTACACTTTTTTTTTCTTTTGGCCCTCTTGCTAGCATAGCTGCAGTACTTTGTGAAGCTGTATGGAGTTACTTGTTCAAAAAAACCCCAAAAACTGAAACTCCCAGCCAGACTGTCAACCTGATGTAGATCATCAGGCTCTCAAATTGAAGTCAATGACATTGAGCTGTCGTAAAACTGGTGCAAGACAAGAATCCATTCAAAATTGCCCAAGAAAAGAAAGCATTACACCTTTTGCTAACTAATTATAGAGAGCCAAAGAACACTAGGAAGTTGCATGGCTCTTCACTACTCGGACAAATGAATATTTTATTTCTTAAAAATAAAGGCAAAGGAACTTGTATTTTATTCAGGAACAGGAAGAAAACAGATAAGAATATAGAGCAAGGTGTGCCAAGTAGACCACAACACCACTTCACCTGTGTAGCCTTCTGCAAACAGCAGCTATTGACCACTTGCCAGCCTGAAATCACCTATGTTTTTTTTTCTTTCATTGCTGATGTAGAATAACAGGAGCAACAGGTGTACAGAACAGGAATTATTGAGCCCCCTGAGCCCATCGATAGGGCTAAGATAGATAAGAGCTAGAGCAAAAGATTGTTTCTGAGAGAGAGAAGAAACACCCAAAGACAGTTAAAACATAGTCTTAGGCCATGGACAGGCATCCATTTCTAGCGCCAAAGAATTTATGTGAAATTTTAGCTCCAGTAATTTTTGTGAAATTCTTAGTGTTAGAAAAATAGTGCAGGAGTTGGAGTTACGCAGGTGAGCTCTCCAGCCAGGAGGCTATAGAGGGCTGCTCCTTGGGTCACCCCTGCCATGGGGAACCCACTGTTTGATAGCTTGCTCTCTCCCCTGGCAGGGAGGGTGGCAGACTGTCAATAGGCAGTTGATAGCTGCTGAAAAGCAGCAGTTGCTACAGACAGCCCCAGGACTATGTGGTTCTAGTCACAGGAGAATAGCCCCCACTTGGTGCACTTCGCCAGGTCCCAATGAAGGGATGCACAGGGCAGGAGGCAGAGGCAGCACAACTGGAGCCATCCCCAGCGGGATGGGTCCATATGTGGGAAATGGCCTGTCTGTGCACAGACTGATTCCTGGATCTAGGCAAGGGTGGGAGGCAGATGTCTGGGGCTTGATCCCCAATTTTCAGCCTGAGGGAATGTCTTCCTGGTTTGCATAAATCCAGGGTGATCTGCATCTATTCAGTGGCTGAGGGGCATTGGCCCCACAACAGGGTCTGTTATGGTGCTTTCTGTTAGGTTGCCTTTGGGCAGGCTTCAGGGATCCAGTGCTCTCCCTCTTTCCCTCTCCTTTAGAGAGAGGGAGGGAGAGCGGAGGACTGTGGGATACTGGGTGTCCTCAACACCCAAGAGATATGTACATCTGTTCAAGTTAGTGGAGGAAGAGAGAGATCTTCCTGGTTGAAAGAGGGAGAATTTTTTTGCTCATGAGCCAGTGTTCTGCAAGAGAACCCTTGAACAGCGTCATACTCCTTAGTACAGGGAGAAAAGCTTTTTTTTAGCACAAATGTGACATCTGTCCATGGCCTTAGTCTGTAATACCAAAATAGTCCTAATATTTTGGGGAGAGATGTCACAGGACAAGTTTGTTTCTGTGAATTATGGCTTTATGCTGGTGAAAAAGCATACATGGCTTCAGGAATCATGCAGGGTTAATTGACTGAAAGACAGAAAGAGAAAATAAATACGTGATTACTACCGCAGCATAGTCTATGTTTGGGTTTTAGAAACAGACTTGAGATATATCGAAGATGGCAATATTTTCCTTTAGATTCACAAACATGAGGCAAGTTGGATTCAGTTTAAAATAAGGATGATTTTTGTGTGTGATTATACATGCAGACAGACATTTTTTAATCCTGTCCATTTCTCTCCCTCATATATAGGAGAATTATGAAAAAAGTTACCATGGAGCCCTCAGAAAGACTGGCTAATCTCCAGGCACTATGGGAGAGCCAGACTGTGGCAGAACTGGGCCCTTGTGGTGAGCATGAATTTTAAGGCTGAGGTATAAAAAGGTTAGAATCACAGTTTGTCAGGAAGTTTAATTCTATTTCTGGCAGAAGCCTGTAAAGGTGTAATTAGTTTTAAGGTGTAATTTGCAGAGCATGGACTTCTGATTGGTGGATGAAGATGCTATTTTTAAGCTTCATTGCAACCTGGCTCATATCACAGACAGTGTAGTGTGGTGTTGGTCTGTGTCAGTTTCTGCCTGCCGTATAATGGATGCATTCCTGAAGGAAAGAGAGAGTGAGTTTTGAAGCACTTTAAGATTTTTTTGTGGTTATTTGCTATAGTGTAAAATGTTGTTTTTATTTTGCTCCTAGGGGGCTTTTCACAAATGTACGCATGTGTTTGTGACTGGCTTGGATTTCCTTATAGAGAAGAGGTACAGTGGGTAAGTACATATCTCATGCTGAGGGCTATTTTAACTAAGTATATGAAGAAAGGCAGAAGGCAGATCAGGGTGAGACTGTAGAGACTGACTGCTTCAGTGGGGCATGAGCTGTCATTGGTGACAACCTACTTCATCAGATGCTATGAATGAGTGTGCAGAAAGCAGAGTTGCTAAATGAACTTGCTTTCTGCATGTTCATTCACAGCATCTGACAGAGTAAGCTGTCACTTGTGAAAGCTCAAGCAATTATCTTTCTGAACTAGTTAGTCTCCAAGGTGCCCCCCAATCTACCCTCTGCTTGACTTCAGGCTAACACAGCTACCTCTCTATACAAAGAGTAAGAGAGACAGCAAACCACAAAACCAGCAGAAACAGTTTTCTAATAAAATGTGGTTTTGTGCATTTTTAACAGGATGTGGATACAATTTATCTAACACAAGATACAAGGGAGTTGAATTTGCAAGACTTCAGCCATCTTGACCACAGGTATACAATACTCAGTAATGCTTATCATAACCTGAAAATAATCATTTTTTCACTACATCTTACTCGGTTCTCATAGGAGCAATGCAGGGAATGCAGACAGGCTTAAGAACTGTCAGTTGGGTTTGTCTGCTTGGTGGAATGACAGTAGCCCTTAATTTTAGCTTCTGCCACAAATCTGTACTCCCTCATCGGCATAGAAGACATGCAGCGTATGCTTTGTTTGTTTAGGAGCTTATGTGTTATATCTATTTACTGGAGATAGTGCACTGACTTTGCCTGTGTATTGTTTGTGTTCACGTTTTTTTAAATTTTTGCACTTATAAAATTAGCTGACTGATACTTCTCATTCTGGGGTACCACAGTTTGCAGGTTCCTCTTTGCTGAATCCAGCTACATCTGGTAAATAAAGTAAAGAAATGTTGTTGCCTTGGCTCCTGCAGAGTCCCCTTTCCCTTGCATACAGTGGGGAAAATTACTTTTTCCAGTAATCTGTAAAAAGACGGGGAGTTTCCGGTTCTGGTATCACAGAAACTTTCTAAACCAAAGATATTATCAAGTGAAACACCAGGGTTCTTAACCTGACTCATTACCTTAGTGCTAATTGCCTGAAGTGAAGGCAATTTCCTGTACACATATATGATTTGTCCTTTAGTAACAGAACTTGTCTTCCAGGTGTGAGATGAAGTAGTCCTGATTTATCTATCTAACAGAATTCAAATACTCCTTCATAGTTGAGACCAAAATTGAAAAGGCTATCAAGCAAGAAATAAATATATTGTTATCATGATCATGCTGATGTGTTTGAAAACAAGTTCACCAAGAGGTTTTTTGTATACATAGAATAACATGGAAGAAAAGCTTAATCCTTGAGGCATGTCACTTTTTAATATCTCAGCATGAGCATAAAAACAGTCTTGTGTATTAGCTTTGCATTAGTGTACAACATTCTTTTGTTGCAAAATGCTGTTCTTATTGTTGCCTTCGTGATAGCTGTATATTTCAGAATGCAGAAAACTGCAATTCTGAAAAGAGATATAGTCTGGCCACTGTTTATCTGAAACAGTTATTAGAATCACAAGCACATCTAACTTTCTTTCTCCCTCTGTGTTTAATAACCACCCCTAAACTGATTGAATATAAAACTAATAAACCAGAGGAAGTGAAGAAAAGACAAGCTGCCAAGTGCCATTAATGTCTATTTGGAAGCATATGCCATGCAGATAGGCGTCTACCAGCACATAATGCTGGTTGGAAACCTTGGGGATGGGCAAACTAAAAAGTTAACATTAATAAATTAAGTGTATTGATAATTTTGATTCAATTTGCACTAGAGCTACTTGCATGTGGAATCATCAACTACGTATACTGTAGTTATGTCTTAGTTTCCATTATACAAGGCAGAGGTTTATAGAGTGCCTGTTGTGTGCATGTGTCTGTATGTATTTAAGTATGAGGCAAGGAATTATCTTATTACTGCATCATGCTACCTTGCATACTAAATAGCGTGATAATGTCTGATATGTGTTTCTTCTGTGGCATAGCATGTTTATCAGCATTAATAGTGAAGACTTTAACAAAAAGGGAGCAAATTATATAAGGAGTTTGGAAATAAATGGAAAGGGAATCATTTAACATTTTATTTGTGAATTCCCTTTTACAATTAATAGAGGGCTTGCGCTGAAAAGTATATTATCCTTTTGCAGGTCTCTTGTTTCTTGGGGAGATATAACTCCAGGGAAGAAACAGGGATATGTTGACTGGAATCAGTCTGTCCAACGTAAATATTTAATCATGCAAAAAAGCTTTGTAGAATCATGCTAGTAATTAAGAAACTTAAATATGTCACACACTGAAGAAAAGTAGTGAGAGACTAGGGAGATACCAACTCAAAAAAACATCTGAATTAAGTATTCATATTTGAATGGATGTTGTTTAACCAGTCAAAAAATTCATATGAAAATGAAGTCAATTCACACAAAATCTAGTTTATTTCCTAGATTTTTGTTATATTTAGAATGCAGTGGGTTTTAAACCCATGTTGTTTGGCTATTATGGTAAAGGCAAATTAAATTAGGTATAAAATAATATTTAAGAGGTCATTTGATTAGCCAGCTGTATGACAAGTGTGTAAAAATGTTTTTCTTTTTCTAGAGACTTAATACCTATAGTTGCTGCCCTGGAATACAATCAGTGGTTTACAAAACTGTCCTCCAAAGATCTGAAATTGGTAAGTAATACTCTGAAGGTACTCCAACTCCTAGAGACCTTTTCTATATTTTACACTGTATGGGGACAGTTATCAGCAATGGAAAACTGAGCAGACTACTGAAAAAAAATTTCTATGCATCATCTGGCCATGAATGCACTAGAAAAGTATCTTATCATTGAGTGTTAGACATTTCAAGCAGTAATATAAGACTAAACAGGAAATTGGTTTAAAGGAACCTGGAATCAGTTATTTGATTAGCAGGTAGGGACATATTTGCATTATATTTTCATTTCTAAGAAAGTAGGCTTTTCTGTCAATCTTCATGATTACCTGAATCAGAAAAAAACTTTCAGGTTCCTGGGGCTAAGACCGTCAAAAGACAGTAGTAAATATTCAATAATGTCTGACAATTATGTTTTTCCACTAAGGTGTTCTGGTGAAACATCAACAAAGGGGCATAATCCAACAAGGTGACCTAGCCTAAATTGTTAAACACAGTTGATTTAAAATTAATTTAATTACTCAAAGTAATAAACTATTTTTAATTTAAAAGTGAATTGTCCCAAATACAGATAATGTTTTTGAAACCTGCTTTTATGTCTAGGATCAGACCCTATCTATCCCAAAACAATTAAAAGGGGTGAATCCCTTTAGAAGTAAATTGATGTAACTTTATGTATCACAATCTTGCTTGTGAAATCCCTCAATTGTTGCATTCCATGAACACAAAACAGTGGTCTATAAAAAGCTGTGGGACCAGAAAATAACTGCATAGGGCTAGTCTGAGAAGCTTAGTCAGTACTTGAGAGAGTCATATTTTGCACTTAAATTTGTTTTTTGCTGAAAAATCCATTCTTGACATGATAAAAATATTTCCCGTTTCTCCACTTTTTTGGAAGTAAAATAATTTCTCTTGTATATAACAATAAAACAGTAACTCAGAGCCCCAGCAGCAGAAATCTCTTTTCCTGAAGATCAAAATATTTTGATTTGGAAATGATAACAGAGGACTACACAGGAATAGTATTTTAGTTGCCCCATGTCCCCATTTTCTTCTGTGGGCCAGGCTGAACATTTTCATCCAGAGGTGAGACTGGTATATAATCAGAGATGTAGTTTAACCAAGCTACTTGTCAAAAGTAGAACAGGGGAACTTGAGGTACTTCAAGTCTAACTTCCAAGAGGCACTGTAACAAGACTTCCAAATCAATTTTTTTTTTCACAAAATATTTTGGTATTTGAACTTCTGCCCAAGATCATTTTTTTTCTATGGAAAACATAGATTAAAAATTATTCTTTGCTTTTATAAAAATTTCCATGAAGGCAAGGAATAGCTATATTTCAACCAATTTTCTCAGTACCATTGCTCCTAATTCTCTTACAATGGTATAAGCCTTTTTGTTTCATGATCACTAAATTAACTACAGTGATCTAAAATATTTTTTGGCAAGAAAATCGCAAAACAAGGCAGAATTTGTTTGGTTCCAGTACCAAAGTGGCTAACTGCTTCAAGTGTGCCTTATCTACCTAGAGGAAAGCCACAGAGGAGTCTTTTCCCTATAATGAAGGGGAATGGAGCGCTGACCGACCTTGAATGTTTTCCTGTTCCACATGTTTAGGGTTTACTGTCAGGAATTGGACTCTTGTAAGGAAGACTCTTGTGGAAAGTGGTAAAGGCAGAAAATCTATTTGATATCCATCCTCTGAAGATCTGGGAATGACCCAGTAGGTATAGAGAAACAACACATTTCCTCCATGGTAATTTCATTTTGCTCTGGGTCAAACGTAGAGCAGATACCTGTTGTAAAGTCTTACACTGTTGTAAGTCAAACCACTGCAGTGTAAAGTTAATCCTTAGAAAGTGAAGAGTCCTACTTTTGTAGTTCCTGCCATCTTTGATAAATAGCAGCAATAAATTTTTCACCAACAGCTTAACCTTCCCCTTTCTAATCAGTCTCTTATGGCAACAATGATTGTGTTTTGTGCTTCTGAATGATGGAGTGCAGAGACAGTGCCAGTGGTGATAGGGAAATGACAGTCTTTAAAATATGAGTACAGGTGACATTATATAAAAACAATTTTTTTTCTTTTCCATGTTGCAGGATTTTTTAATTTTCTGAAATTTATATTAAAAAAACTTTAAAAGCCTGAACATTTAGCCTTGTATAGTGATTGAACAGTGGAGTCTGACAGTATATAGGAACATAGACTCTCAGGACCTTGTATGAATATCATTCAGTCATTTTAGCAGCTATAATCACTAACAAAGTTCAGTTTTGAGCTTCTAATGGATCCTGTGTGATATGTTTTGGAGGAAGATGGTAAAATTCCAAAGTGAAATAAAATAAAAGATGCAGAGTTACTGTGATTTGTTTTATAGCTTTTGGATTACAGTTAACATCCCTTCCTCCCCTCCTTCCCCCCCCCCCCCCCAAAAAAAAACAACCCCACTAGCTAATTAACACTGCAAAAGCAGTGCTATCTTCCTGTCATGTTCTGGATAGTCATGGATCCCATGACTGCTTATGCAAATGACAGAACATGACTATTAGGGCTGTGCAAAACGGCACCGTTTCATTTCACGTTCAGTTTCAACGGTTCAACGGAACAGCGTTCTGTTTCAAATTTCATTTAGATTTAAAACAGCTGTTCTGTTCCGTTCTGTCGAAACTGAAAGACTGTTTCGATGCTGTTTCGACTTTCACTGTGGGGGGGGGTGAACTCAGCTGGGTTGACTCCCCATCCCTAGGGCTAGATTGGGCATGGGGGCAGAGAGTCAGCCCAGCTGGCCTCCCTCCCACCCACTGTGCAGCTGGGCTGACTCTCCCACCCCCACCCCCTGTGCCCAACTGCAGCACAGGGGGTGGGGGGTGGGAGTGAGCCCAGCTGGGCTGACTCTGCCCCCATGCCTGATTGCATCACGGGGGGGTGGGCATGAGCCCCGCTAGGATGAGACTCCACCCCCTCCGCCCCCCACCCCCCCCCAGCCGGATCGCAGTGCTAGGGAAGGGAACTGAGCCAGGCTGAGTTCCCTTCCCTTGCGTTGTTATCAGCTTCTGGCAGTGGGAGATGGGGAGAGCCAGGGCTCCGCTCCCTGCTGGTGCCCTGGTTCTCCCCATCTCTTGATGCTGGCTTTGAAACTTGAAACATTTCAAAACTTTCGAAACGTTTTGACTAGCCTCGTTTTGTTTTGAGGCTGTTTCAAAGCCCCTCATTTCAATTTGATTTCACTATTTTGACCTCTAAATTAGTCAAAACAGAGTCAAATCGAAACAGCCGGCGAAATTTTGCACAGCCCTAATGACTATCATGGACATGATTGGGTGTGCAGCGGTTCTGCATGGGGCTAGGAGAATCTGAAATAAAACTGTAGTGGGGGGGTGGAGGTGGTACTGTATTCCCTGCCCATAAAGCTCTTTCTTCGAGAGTGTGCAAACAGCCTCTGTTCCTTGGGGACCTGTGCTTTGTTGTGCTTTATTGTCTGCATTTTGGTGTTCCTACTTCGTCTAATGGGTGTTTCTAGTTGCATCTTTTTTTTTCACTGTCAATAACCCCTTTTAATTCAGGGATTACCATGGATGCAGAAAAATGTCCTGACCAAGCAATTTTTATATTCATGGAAACCCTGTCACGATAAAAGACAATTAGGACCTTGTTTGCTGGTCCACTCCTTGAATGACTCTTGTTAGTTTGCCTCTTGGTTAGAACATTCCCCAGATTTGCTATTTTGGTCTGAATCCCTTCTTCAAAGGTTTCTAGGATATACCTGAAGCTATGATTATTACTGTTTGTTACTCATATCATGGTTGTGCCTGAAACCCCAGTCATGGACATGGACTTGTGCTTAGCTAACACCTATTTATTTCCTGTATTTCTGAAGAAGTTATTTTGTTTGTTTAATGTTAATATTTCTTCTCCATGACAGTCCACCGATGTCTGTGAGCAGATCCTAAGAGTGGTCAGTAGGTCCAATCGGTTGGAAGAACTGGTATTAGAGAATGCTGGGCTGAGAACGTAAGTAATGTTTCTTGAAATGTTATGTTATTATTTATTCATAGCTTCCTAGATATAAATTACATGTTAGAACTAACAAAATAGTAAATAAAGAAATGATAATCCTAAAATATTATTCTATCTATGCAATTTTATTCTGGGTAGGAGATACTGCCTGTTGAAATGGAATGAATATATCTAAACAACCAAACTACAAAAATGTACTTTCCTCCACTTCTAATAGTAACATTGTAAAAAGCAGATAGATACTTAATATAATCCACTTACTGTACTCTATTTTTAAAAAAAATATAAAGAAATTAACTATACAATTTAGTGTGTACATGCTACAGAATTATTTTAGTATCTAGGCTGGTAATTAATAGCTCTTCAGACATTTTGTTTTTCTCTTACAAAATGGAGGCAAAGAAACCCCCCTCTTACATTGCGTAGTCAGTATTTGAGTAGCATGTAGATGCCCCGAGAAAGGCCACATTCCCCATTGCCTAGGTGTAGTACACCATGAAGCAAGACAGTTCATTGTCCCAGTGAATTTGCAATCTAACCAAGCAAGCCAGCCCAAAAGCAGGAGGAGGAGGTGTTATTTTCACTTAATATTAAAGGACTCAAGCTGAAAGAGATGGAGGAGTGTGTTTTTAGAACTATATATACAGTTAACTTGCATTTATTTTAATGGGAGTTAGACACCTTGATACTTCTGAAAGTATGGCCCAAGTTACTTTCCTGAGGTCAGTCAGGAGGTCTGTGGTAAAGTGTGGTCCCCAGTGCAGTATCCCTAATAAGAAGCATTCAGAGTATAAGTGATTGACTATCCTTAATTTTTCATCTCATGTCATTATTCACAGCATTAATAATGAGGGAATATTATAAGAGATATTGACTTCCATTGCACATTGCTTGCTTGCTAACTTGGTATAGCTGGAGCTGGTTTTGATTCTAATAGGACTTGACTGATAATCATCCTGAGACATTTGATTTTGTGGCACTATATATATATATATTCCAAGTGTTTGGCAATTTTCCTTTGTATGTCTCTGGTCTGATCAGCATTAACTGTCTGTTCCTGTTAAGGGTGTATATATCAGCTCTGCAGGTTATAATGCCCATTTGCTGGGAGGAAAAAGAATTCATCCTGTTGATACTAGCCACTTCACTTAGCTTCAGCTACAGAAAGAGCATTTTTAATGAGCTTAGATCAATTACCGTGGCTGGAGTTAAGAAGAGTTATTAAGAACTAAGTGTTTAAAAGTTAAGTCCCACTGTGCACTCAGTTCATCTCTTCCGGCTTTTCAAATACTGAAGTCCTGAGTTTGTTTGTATTTTTATAGTGCACTTCATGATCGCCACGATCGTAATGTGAGGCTGCCGAAGTCAGGGCTCCATTTCTACTTTGTCAGGGGAGGATTCTCTTATGTGTTGCCCTGGCACACTTGCTGATCACTCCTGCTGTGCTTTGCAGGCAGGCAGGAAGACAGGATTCACCCCAAGGAAATTCTTGTCAGTTGGCAAAGCAATGTTAATACCTGGTGTTTAGCTCTATTGTCACTAGGATTTGGTTACAGGACATAGGAATTTTCTATTAATATATAGCGAACAGGTTGCTCATTAGGACAATGAAGCTTCAGTTGCTGATTCGATTTGGAGGCAATTCAGCCCAATTCAGTGGCTGAATCCCTGAATCCAAATCAAATTGGGAGACCGATTAAAATGTCCAAATCAATTTGTAGCCTCGGGGGGGGGGGGACCATGGGGG